AAAGCAAAGATATGTCCTGGGTGTCTGAGTCCATTACTTCACATTTTATAAAAGTGTTTCAGGATGGAGATGACTACAAAGGTCAGAATATTTGTCTCCTTGTGCAACTGCCAACTGTTACTAAGTATGCTTCAGGTCAGTACTGTGCTCTCCATCCACATTCCTCAATATTTTCTTCCAATTTTCTTTTCCTTTAAGGTTACATTTGGCTCATTTGATCCTACACTGACTGACAGTGGTCAGTATCCTTCTCTCTATCAGGTGGCCCCAAGGGACACGTATTTGGCCCTTGGCATGGTGTCCTTGATGCTTCATTTTCGTTGGACCTGGGTGGGCCTGCTCATCACAGAAGGCCAGAAGGGTCTTCAGTTTCTCTCAGATGTAAGAGCTGAGATGGACTGGAACAGAGTGTGTGTAGCCTTTGTGAAAATGATCTCAACTCTGGCTGTGTCATATCTCTCAGCCACACAGAAACATGATATTGTTGCCATAGGAACATCATCAGTCAATGTGGTGGTTATTTACTATGATACTGATAGTACACATGATGTAAACTACAACATAGCACAAAATTTTGTGACATGGAAAGTCTGGGTGACAAACTCACAATGGAATGTTGACCTGACTGGGAGAGATTTCATACTTGACCCATTCCATGGCATTCTGGTTCTTTCACCCCACCATGAAGAGATTTCAGGTTTCAAAAATTTTGTTCAGGAAGCTTCCCCTTTCAGATACCCAGAAGACACTTACCTCGTTATATATTGGTCCAAGAATTTCCATTGCTCATTCTCTGACTTTGACTGTGCCTTGAAGGACTGTACACCTAATGCCTCTCTGGCTTGGTTGCCTCCAAATCGTTTTGACACAGCCATGAGTGATAGGAGCTACAATATATACAATGCTGTGTACGCTGTGGCCCATGCCCTCCATGCGATGCTTTTGGAAGAAGTACAAAGGCCACCAATGAAAAATAGACAAGTGATGATGTTTTCCCCCTGGCAGGTAAAGTGCATTCTCTCGGATGGCATGCAGTGTCATAAAGGTACCTCTTTCAAGCTATTCTGCATGTTTCACCCAAGAGCATTAGAACCATTTCTACCAAATACAAGACATTGAGTATCACACTAATTGTTAAGGAGGTAATTCTTGAGCTGAGTTGCAATGATCCTCAAACAAGTAGCTACTGATAAGGAGGAGAAAAACAGGAGGCCAACTCCTTGCTTCTGTCTATGGGATGTCAATGCTTTGCCCACTTAAACAGGTCCTATGACATTCTTGAAATAAAATATAAAAACCTGTAGTCATTCATGAAACTAAATGACATGAAAACCTACAGTGCACATATTATAGGAATGTTCCTTTTAATTCTGAAAACTCTTCCAATATTGAACTCACTTTGTTGCTGTGGGTATAGATAGACAATGGACATTTTGTGTTAGAAGCTTTCATTCTGCATTTGACGTTTTTGCCTAACAAAACTTTATTTTTTTTTTTTATTTTTTGAGGTACCATGAGTTGAACTCATGACCTTGCACTTGCCAGGCAGGTGCAGTGCCACTGAGCTATATTCTCTGTCTCAAAACTTTAAATAGGCTTGCATAGAATATTTCTTACAGAAACTGACTTACATTTCTATAATGTAACATTTTAGTCCTTAGACATTCATATGCTCTAATTAACTAGATACCAGTGTTCAAGTTGCTTTATGTAAAAGGAAGTAAAACACTTTGGGGACTTTCTCCCACCCATGTTTTCTGTCCTTATCCTGGAGCCCTGCTCACATAGGATGACATGTCTCTTTCAGCTGCATCGCTTTCTAAAGAATATCCAATTTAACAATCCTGCTGGTGACCAAGTCAATTTAGATGACAGAAGGAAACTGGATTCAGAATATGACATTCTCAATTTTTGGAATTTTCCAGAAGGTCTTAGACTGAAGGTTAAAGTAGGAACATTTTCTTCACATGCTCCACATGGCCAAAAAATGTCTTTATTTGAGGATATGATACAGTGGGCCACAGGAAATACAGAGGTGTGTTGGACCTAATTATGACATACTTCCTTAACCAAAAAATAAGCTACATATTGTCATAGTATTTGTGCCCTGAATTTTTCTCATTACATGGCCAAATTTTGCTGATGTGGAAATTGAACAACTCAATTTTCAATTTGAAAAAAATCTTGTTTACCAGCTTTCTGATCAGTGAAAAAGACATGCATTTAATTAACCAAATTTTTGTAGATATACATTTCATCTTATGAAATAAATTTGACATTCAACTCGGTAGTTTTATTTATGTATGTATGAAAGTTATGTTTATTCCTCTAGTTGTGAAGAAGGAAGTAAAAGTCTAAGAAGTTACCATCAGATATTTCTTTCCTTAGGCTCCCCACTCGATGTGCAGTGAGAGCTGCAGTCCTGGATTTAGAAAAAGCCCTCAGGAGGGAAAGGCTGCCTGCTGTTTTGATTGCACCCCTTGTGCAGCCAATGAGATCACCAATGACACAGGTAGGAGCATGCCTTATGGACAGATTCACACTCTGTTTTTATATTCAGCCCATTCATACACAAAGTGAAAACAAATCCTATAGAGAACATCAAAGATAAAATGTTTCTTTTTATTGGTTGATTAAGTTTGCATGCCTGCATCTTGTAATCTGAGCAACTACACTGAAGACAACAATATGCACTAAATTGACCATTGTTAATTCCTTATTATCCTATTTTTAAACTCTGTATTATTGTTTTTCTTTTTATCTTTACCTCTTTAAAACAAAAAATTTTTTAAACTGTAAAACACTATAAAATTTTCTTTTCACATTTAAATTATTTGTTATGTTGAGTTCTATTGCCCACTTTGAAAACACACTTTCCCTTTGAAATGCACTCTAATTTATTTTCCTTTCATTCCAATCTTGTTATTTTTGTTTGTTTGCTTTTGATTGCTGGGGATTGAACCAGAATGTGCTATATCACTGGCCTATGTTCCCAGTTATTTTATTTGTTATTTTGAAACAGAATATCCCCAACTTTTCTCAGACTGCCTCAAAGACCTGATAGACCTGTCTCAGTCCACTGATTCCCTGGGATAATGATCGTGCACCACCACACCCAACTACATGGAATTATTTTTCTAGTCCCACTAAAAGCATTATTTTCTCAAGAAAAGCCTTTCCCCTACCCTACAGCTTCTAAGTTCCACCACCGTTATGAAGTGTAACAGGCAGTAGGAGTAAAGCAAACTCTTTACTTTCTTTGAAACCACAGCAAGATTACACTCAAGACAAAGGTGAAGCATACTTCATTTTCCAGGGCCTGGAAGTATTCTTCACACAAAGCCAGTGCTCAGAGAGACTGCTTGATTAAAGATAGGAGGATGTCTTTGCTGCATAATATGCTTACAGCACAGCACAATCTCAGGTCTTAGGGTTTCACCCCTGTTCCCCTAGAATGCATAGATGAGTGAGGTGACAGCCTGTGACATGAATTAGAGTCTGTACCACAGAACTGAAAGGATGATATGCACCCAGCATAAGGGATTTAACAAGTGACAATATCTACATTTCAGCGGGGTGTCACTGTCATTTTTACAGAGGTGATAGCATAATTATTATATTGGAATGAAAATTGGTGGCATAGATCCTTGATAGGATTAACAGAAGTGGCCCAAATGACATATGCACCACTCATGGAACATTCAACTACCATAAAAGAAATTGCCATATTATAAAACACAGCTCATATGAGGATGAGGGT